GGGACCGTGCGATGGTGGCGGCGGCAGAGAAAATAGGGGACGATCGGCGAGAATAAAAGACAAATCTCTCCCAGCCAGCCTGCTTGGCTTCCCGCTTTGAGAATGCAAATGAGGGGTTCGTACGTCAATTCTCCGTTCGCAAGTCAAAATGGATTTTTGCGGACGGAGAAGTACGTAACTCAGAAAGTTCANGCATTTGATTTGGTAGATTCGGTGCTTTTATCTATAGCTGGATAGGTGTATAGACATGATTTTAGACTTCTTATTCAGACATCTGGAAGTCTATTGCATTACGCCATTACCTGGGAAGCCAGCATGGTATCATAGACCAGTATGCAATTGAGCTTCCACTGCGCAGAACATTCCACCAGTTTTTTTTAATGCAGGTTCATGCTACTTATTTGGTAGATTCGGTGCTTTTATCTATAGCTGGATAGGTGTATAGACATGATTTTAGACTTCTTATTCAGACATCTGGAAGTCTATTGCATTACGCCATTACCTGGGAAGCCAGCATGGTATCATAGACCAGTATGCAATTGAGCTTCCACTGCGCAGAACATTCCACCAGTTTTTTTTAATGCAGGTTCATGCTACTTGGGTAAGCATGATTGTCACACAGGTGATGATCTCCAGGAAGAATACTTTGCCTTCCATTTACCCTCACAGTGCTTGTGCAGGCATATAGATCTCATGTTACTATAGTGGCAGGACTTTTCTCTCAAGGAAAGTACAGTAGGATAATACAGATAAGCTCTAATATGAACCAAATAATTCTAAATATTGTAGGATAATACAGATAAGCTCTAATATGATCCAAATAATTCTAAATATTAATTTAGTCGTTAAGTTGTGTCCGACTCTTTGTGACCCCAAATATTAATTTCTTTCTTCTAAATCATGACATGATCTTACTCTTTGTGACCCCAAATATTAATTTCTTCTAAATCATGAGATGATCTTTACCGTATTTTACTGTATACAAGATGACACTTTTTCCCTAAAATAATCAGAGGAAAAATTGAGGGTCGTCTTATAAACAGAAGGAAGCAGTCGCTGCCGCTGCTGTCGCCCAATTAGTCGTCTTATAAACAGAAGGAAGCAGTTGCTGCCGCCGCTGTCGCCCAATTACCTCTTTCAGAGCTCAGGGCTTGTCCCCTCTGTGGCCGAGGCAGCAGCAGCAGCAGCAGAAGGAGGAGGAGGAGGCAGAGACAGAAGCGAAGGAGCATGCACACACGCTCTGGCGCCTCTTGATGCCTGCCTCCCCCTCCGCCCCGCCCGGCCAATCACCACCTCCAGCAAGACTGAGGGGCTCAGCTCAGTCTCTGCCCTGTCCCCTCTGGGGCGGAGACAGCAGGAGGCATAGGCAAAGGAGCATTCACACGCCTTCTGGTACCTCCGAGAGGCATAGGCGAAGGAGCATTCACACGCCGTCCGGCACCTCCAGGCTGCTGCCTCCCCCCCCCACCTACCCAATCACTGCTGCCTTGTCCCCTCCAGTGGTGGAGGCAGCGGGAGGGGCGCGCTGGGGCTCCTCTTTCTGCCTCCTTAGGAAAGGAAATTTTATTTATTTTTATTTGTTTGTTTATTTATTTATTTATTCGATTTTTACCCCACCCCACTAGACAACGGCTCCTATTAGATTTTTACCCCACCCCACTAGACAATGGCTCCCCTTCCTTTTTGCTAAACCAGCGTGCCTTTTGCTAACCTTCTCAAAAGGCAAGGAAAAGCGGCAGTCACTTTGACAGCCGTTCTCCTTGCCTTTTGCCAAGGCCCCTTTCTCAAAAGGCGAGGAAAAGCGGCAGTCAGTTTGACAGCCGCTCTCCTTGCCTTTTGCCAAGGCCCCGGAACTTAGCAAAAAGGGAGCCCTTTGATCCCTGCTTTTTTGGGGTTAGAAAAAGGGGGGTTTGTCTTATACTTTGGGTCGTCTTGTAAACGGAAAAATACGGTAATTCCTTTCATTTGTAGCCTCATTCCAGTGATAAATTAGAGGAATTCTGAGACCTTTGATAACAGAAATATTTCAGTGAAAATTTCGTGGTAGGTTATTTTTCAAATGAGCTTTGTCTGCTTAACAATGAAGACCTAGTGGTTATTTTCTCATGAGAGATTGGCTGTCCATGTATTTAAGACCTAAATGTCCCCCTTCATCTGTTAAGATATTTTTGTCATTTTTATTTAATGTATCTTTTAATCCTACCAGTTATGTTCTGAGAGATGTTCCTGTATCTAGATTCCATATTTTGCTTGGGAAATGTCAGAATTATGTTGGGAAAGATTCCTTGTATACTCTGGATATACTTTTTCTTTTCTAATTCCTCAAATTACCAGTTGAGAAGCAGGTTGATCTCTTTGAAACCATCCATTCTGTTTTACAAAAAGTAGCTGTGATTGCTGCAGTCATGAAACAAAATTGTCTCTCCTGCAGAACAAAACTGAAGAACCACGAATACGAAACCCTTGACCATTTGGAAAATGATTTAAACGTGATGTTTGAAAATGCCAAACGTTACAATGTTCCCAATTCAGCCATTTATAAGAGGGTGTTGAAACTGCAGCAGGTGATGCAGGTAAAATTTCTGATTCAATAGCTGTGTTTATGGGCTCTTTTTGGTAGGAGCAAGTATTTGGTGCATTTCTATCTGCATTGGCACAGTGCTGCCTTGTGACATTAACACTGCACAGTTAATGTACGTGCCATGTTTTTACTCTAAGCAGCACTCCAAATACTTTAAGATTGAGAGCCCTTGGCTGGAAATACAACTTCAGAAATTAATATTCTAGATGAGGAATAGGTCTTCCTAAATGAATTTTCTTTTCTCTTCTGTTGATCTTATATCAGCCTTCTGAGTTAAAAAAATATCTTGTGTTCAAAATGTATAAGTAACTTACAAGGTACAGTAATGGCCTCCACAGTACCTGGAATCTAATAACTGGAAACTCTTGCAAGTAAGAAGGATCTCAGATATATTGGTTATTCTAGAATATATCTATTTGGATTTGTTTAAGTAGTTTGTCTCTGGGATATAATGTTCTGTTTTATGCAGTTTATATAAATAGCAGAAAATGTTTTAATTGAATCTTACCATTAATGCAACCTTTGCAGCTACTAAATATTCATGCATGCTGGAGGATATTCAGCTGAGTGAATCTGACTCTAGGGCTTTGTTCTGTTTCAGGCAAAGAAGAAAGATCTGGCAAGAAGAGATGAAATTGAGGACGGGGACAGTATGATCTCCTCTGCGACATCTGATGCTGGAAGTTCAAAAAGGAAAAGGTATGCATGCTGTTTTAGCCACTCTTTCATGTAATTTTCAGATAACTGGTCCTAAGCTAGTCATCAGCTGCCCCATTACAGACAAAGAGACATATTGATCAAATATGTAGATTTGGCAGGAATATGTATATCACAATCTAGATGCCATGAACTTCTAAATACAATATTAGGCAGCACAGGCGTCTTACTCTTTTATCTGTTGTTCATTGTTTTTATCTCAAACAGTGCTGTCCCCATATGGGTGAAAAAGTGTGTAATGCTGTGTACTTGGAAATAAGCTCAGTTGAACTTCCACCTTCATTCACTTTTTAAAGCTAGCAATTTATTTGATCCTTAAAATAAGTTTGTAAGTTTGAAATTGTAAGTTTGAAATTGTCTTCAAGAGCAGAAAGATTGTGTCTGCATGTTCTTTCTTTTCAATTAGGACACATATTTAATTTTGAAAAATATATTTTAAAATCCACTTCAAAAAATTAAAAATATTGTGCAGTAATTAATGAGCACTTAACTACAGATTTAAGATTCAGTTTTTTAAAAAATTGGCCTCTTTGCAGGCGTTTTGAAAATTGTATTAAAATGCATCTAACTTACTTAGATACTTGTAAGCCTTCTTAGCTGATCTGTAATGTTTCAGTTCTTAATTGCAACCTGTTTGGTTGGTTGAAATGGTAACAGAAAGGTGGTTTTCTTTTATTCAGACTCCATGACTAAGATGTGTGTGGCTTGAGCACTGTTGAATCCTTCATGCTTCATGTTGTAATAGGCTGAGTCCACAGAGATGTGTGTCAAAATATGGAATGTTGCTGTGAAATTTGGGCGGGCAATAGTGTGAGCTGCTGTTGTTGATGTGACCTTTGCGTTGCACCTTGCAAATGGTGTGGCTTCTTGAAAATTATTTGTAGTTATGGAAGCAGCTGCCTCCGAAATGGGAACAGTAATATAATATCTTCATCCTTTAGCATAGATAAGCTATAGTGGTCCTGCAAAGGTGTGCAGTTGTTCCTTTTCTCTCCCTAGGATTCCAATGGCAGTTTTAAATATGTATGTTTGTGTGTGTTCACTTGTACACGTGCACACACATCTACATATTGAGAAGGAATGTCTTCTCCAAGATTTCATTGTGATTTCACTAGTGACTACGCCTCTATGCTTATTGTGAAATTATTATCCTTATTGAATGGAATGTGGCTAGTCACATGCCAAGTGACTCAAGTTTACATCCTACCTGCTTGCCAACAATGTGATAAATCCTTTCTTTCACTGTTTTTGGTAGAGATAAAATTATTTTTAAGCTCAGAATACATTAAGAACAGACACAATTTTAAGCCAGTGTAGAGAAATGTCTTGTGTCACTATGGATCAGCCTTTGACATATTTTAGGGGAAAGTGATCTGTGTCATAGATTTCTGAATGGTGTCAATTTTGATTTTGATAAGTCTTTGGACAAGAGATTGAATGGGTCAATTTTTATCTCAGTTCTTTTCATACTATTACTGTGCCTGGCCATGAAAATAAAAAAGGTTGTAAGTTGTAGCCTGGCAGCCTTGCCAATGAATGCTTCCCAGACATTAGTGCACCATAAAGAAGGAAGGCCTTTCTGCTTTCTTTAGCCCAGCCACACACCCTGAAATTAAAAGCAGCATTTAAGAAGCATTGCAGAGAGAAATTATATATGGAAGAAACTACCCATTATTATACCACTGCAGAATAATTACTGTATATGCTGTCGGGTAAATTTAGGCTTATGTCAGCCATTTTCAGGACATTCTAGATATGAAATAGAAGAGGTTTGCCTTTCCCTTCTTCTGGGGTCACTGTGGGACTGTTCAGCTTACCCAAGGCTACACAGGCTGACTCTTCTGCCAGGAGGCACAGTGGGGAATCAAACTTGCAATCTATGGTTTTGCAGTCAGATACCTAACTCATTGAGCTATTTAGCCAACTATAGTATATTTTACTGTACTGTAATATGCACCTTTTCTGCAGTTCCCTTTTGCTATGCTCATTTCAGCCTTAGAATATGACAAATAGAAAGAACAATAGTAGTCTGACAGATGTGATTTCTAGACACACAGGAACATAGGAAGCTTCTTTATTCATTGGTCCATATAGCCCGTCCAGTATTGTCAACAGTGGCTGGCAGAGGCTCTCAACGTATTTAGGCAGTATTATTTCCAAGCCTTTCCAAGTGATCCCGGGTATTTCCTAAGGGTCTCCCAAATACTAGCCAGGCCCAACCTGGCTTAGCCTCTAAAAACAGATGAGATCGGTATTCAGGGCTACATGAGTTAAAGTAACTGTAGATCCCAGTACTTCTTCTCTATCAGACATTGGGGAACTGTCCAGCAGTAAGGCATTTCCATCTGGCATTTCTGTCAGATATTTAAAGTTTAGGTGGAAAATGCTTTAATTTATTATATGGAAGCTCTAAATATCAGAAGCTCTAAATATCAGAAACCTTTGAAAAATAGGACAGCAGGCTTCCTGTTCCCCATTTACTTTACAGATAATGGAAAAGGCTGATTTACTGTGGTGGCTGTGCTCTTGAGATTAGTTGTACTGTCATTGCATTGATTCATCTTATCAGGGTCTCCTTTTTAAAAACTCATACCTTTACTGTGGTTGCAGAGACTCTAAACATTTCTACTTGATATATCTAGCATTTTATTTGCATAAAAGTAAAAAGAGTGTCAGTGATTTTAACTGCAAAGAAGGATGCTCATTGGATTTCATGAATCCCTTTACAGTATTACTTTCCCCTCTTCAAATCTAACAGCAAAAAGAATATAAAGAAACAGCGAATGAAAATTTTATACAATGTCGTTCTGGATGCACGAGAACCTGGAACTAACCGAAGACTCTGTGAACTGTTTATGGTGAAACCTTCCAAAAAAGACTATCCAGATTATTACAAAATAATTTTGGAACCAATGGATTTAAAGATAATTGAGCACAATATCCGCAGTGATAAGTACTCTGGGGAAGAGGCTATGATAGAAGATATGAGATTAATGTTTCGGAATGCAAGACATTACAATGAAGAAGGTTCACAGGTACCTCTATAGGAAATACTTGGTTAATACGTATATAACTGTCACTCATGCTTTTCTCTGCTTACTGTAGCATCTCATTAAATGAGCACTATTTTATTTATGTAAAACAATGTGTAACATACTGTCTTAATGTTTCTGATACGTACGTGTGCCTTTTGCATTCTGCACATTCACATGTGGCAGACCAAGAATTCCTATCTGCATCAAGCCTCTAGTGGGGCAGTGTTAAGGTCCAGTAAATTCTTATTCATGCTGAATTTTAATGATAGAAGATATGGTGGAAAATATACTACTATCTGCTTTAGCCCATGAGATTAAATGTGCTATGAATTTAGATAAATAAGCCTACATTATTTCCCAGTTACAAATCAGTAAGTTCTAAAAATGGATTGTACCCATTTTATAAGTACAGTGGTGCCCCGCATAGCGAGGTTAATCCGTTCCAGATTAACTGTCGCTATGGCGAAACATCGCTATACGGAAAGTAAAAACGCATTGGAACGCATTAAACTTCATTTAATGCATTCCATTGGGGCCCAAACTCACTGTTCAGCGAAGTTTCTCCATAGCGCCGCCATTTTCGCGCCCTCCGTAAGCGAGGGCAGGCCGCGAAAATGCGCGTGGCCATTTTGGGCGTCCGGCGGCCATTTTGGAACCGCCGATCAGCTGTTTAAAAAAAATCACTATGCGATCGTCGCAAAGTGATTTTTGTCCATAGGGAACATCGGTATGCGATTGCATTAGCGATCGCAAAATCCGCATCGGTATGCGGATTCATCAGATTTTGCGCTCGTTATGCGAGGCACCACTGTAGTTTTTCTACTGTAGAAAGCAATTGATACTCTGAAAATGGGGCACCAGAGAGATTATGAAGTAACCTTGTAGACTGCTAGTGACTAACAATGCTGGTCTCTAGAAGGTGGTGGGATTCCATCTATAAACATGCCAGAAATGATCCCTGCTGATCTTACATGTGGCTCTGTGATTATTCCATGGGGTTGTCCTTGCATTCAAAAGGGGAGGAAGAGATGCAGGACTGTTTCCTGTGGGGCCAGGGGGGCAGACTGAACCAGTAGGCTCTTAGATGCTTAATCCCAGTGTAAGGAAAACAGCAGCGAGTTGTGGCACCTTAAAGACTGTCATGTTTTATCCGACATACGTTTTTCTTGGACTGTAACCTGTTCCCTCCAACGAAGTAGGCTCCGTCCTGCATAAGCGTTATGCCAGATGGAACATATTAGCCTTTAAGGTGCCACAGAATTCAGTGAAACAGACTAACATATCTCTCTATATCTGAGTTACTCATAAACTGATAAGTCTAGTTCAACTATTCATTACATACAGTGCTGCCTCGCATAGCAACGATAATCGGTGCAGCAAAAATCGCTGCAAAGTGATTTCGTCGCTATGCGATTTTAAAAAGCCCATAGGAATGCATTGAAACCCCTTCAGTGCGTTCCTATGGGCTTAAAACTCACCTTAAAGCAAAAATCCTCCATACAGCGGCCATTTTCGCCGCCCGGTAAGCGAGGAATCCGTCCCTAAAGACAGCGGGCGGCCATGTTTTTACCCGGCGGCCATTTTGGAACCGCTGATCAGCTGTTAGAAAATCATCGCTTTGCGATGATCGGTAAGCAAAACAGGGTACCGATCATCGCAAAGCGATTTTTTCCCATTTAAAACATCGCAATGCGATCGCAAAAGCGATCACAAAATCTTCATTGCTATGCGATTTCGTCATTAAACGGGGTGCCCGTTAAGCGAGGCACCACTATATTCTGGAATTCCAGTGTATTTGCGAGAGTCCCTTCCTGTACAAATAGTTCTCCTTTATATAAAGATGCCCATGCTGTAGATATAAACAAGGAAGTTTTTGTTTGTAAGTTCTGGGTTGGGTTTTGAGGCTTCCAGAAGAAACATCTTCAGTCTGAGGTAGAGAAAAAGTTGTGAAAGCCATTTGTTGTTATTGTCTTTCAATAATTTAATTAATAATAGGTGTACAATGATGCCCATATTTTGGAGAAACTTCTTAAAGAAAAGCGGAAGGAGCTTGGGCCCCTACAGGATGATGATGACGTTGCTTCACCTAAATTGAAATTAAGTAAGTAATTTCTGTAAATTACCACGCTGAATAAAAGTTCAGTTTTTGTAGCATTTAAACAACTTAAATATCTCAAAACACCAAGAAGTGATTGTCTGCTTAGGACATGGTAGAAATAATAAATCCATATATTAACCAAACTGTTAAAAAGTTGGATGTCCATATCCAGTTACCTTTTTTTCTGTCTAGGTAGAAAAACTGGAATCTCCCCTAAAAAATCAAAATACATGACTCCAATGCAACAGAAACTTAATGAAGTGTATGAAGCAGTGAAGAATTACACAGACAAGCGAGGTAGGCGGCTAAGTGCTATTTTCTTACGACTGCCATCTCGGTCAGAGCTTCCTGATTACTATCTGACCATTAAAAAACCTGTTGATATGGAGAAGATCAGGAGTCACATGATGGCCAATAAATACCAGGACATTGATGCCATGGTTGAAGATTTTGTAATGATGTTTAATAATGCCTGCACTTACAATGAACCAGAATCATTGATTTACAAAGATGCTTTGGTGCTACATAAAGTTTTGCTTGAAACAAGACGAGACATAGAAGGTGATGAAGATTCTCATGTCCCGAATGTAACACTACTGATCCAGGAGCTTATACATAATCTTTTTGTTTCTGTAATGAGTCATCAAGATGATGAGGGCAGGTGCTATAGTGATTCTTTAGCAGAAATTCCTGGAGTTGATCCCAGCTTCCCAAACAAACCACCCCTGACTTTTGATATCATACGCAAAAATGTGGAAAATAACCGCTACAGAAGATTGGACTTGTTCCAAGAGCATATGTTTGAGGTGTTGGAACGAGCAAGGAGAATGAACCGGTAAGTTAAAAACTTACAACAACCTCTTCCTTTGCAATTTTCTTTGTGAAAACTCACATTGTCATGTATTCCTATTATCAGGGCGGAAACCTTAAAGGCCAACTTTTCTCAAAGCTCCATCTGGTGATTCTTTAAAAAAAAAACTTCGGGCTAGCAGGTTCCTTCCTTCCTGTATTATAATTTATTGAAAATTCAGTGTTTGCTCTTCTGGCTGAAATAGCAACAACTCTTGTCTTAGCAATAAGAATTATTAGCATGTGAAACAGTGGTTAACTTGAAGTTGTGTCTAGATTTTGCTCTGATAGTTTTCAGTTCAGATAAATTGTCTCATCCATGCAGTGTCCTCAGAAAAGTCACTGCCACTGAGATTTTGCAATTTGTTAGCTGTTTTAGTAAGCTTGGTAGCGCCATTAATTTTTAAGAAATGTGAAATGTATGCAGCTGCGTTGTGTGGGTACTGCAGGTTTTGAAACTTTGACACAGCTCAGTGATCATCTGAGGTTCATAATAGTTCTGAGAACAAACTGTGTACCACCTTCCTCCCTCCCTCCCACCATGTGCCTGCCTTCCCATGAGACCTGAGCCTGAGTCAGGAGATAAAAAGCAGTTGCAGATACTTCTGGTCTTACGTGATGCTTGGATTCCTGTGTGTGATGTCACGTTACAGACTTGTTATTCTCCCCCTTAAAGGACAGATTCAGAGATTTATGAAGATGCAGTAGAACTTCAACAGTTCTTTATCAAAATACGTGATGAGCTCTGCAAGAATGGTGAGATCCTCCTATCACCAGCCCTCAGCTATACTACAAAACATCTTCATAATGATGTAGAGAAAGAGAAGAAGGAAAAACTCCCAAAGGAAATGGAAGAGGACAAACTCAAAAGGGAAGAGGAGAAGAGAGGTAAACTGCATGTACTTCAAGCAGTTCTTCACTGTTACTTTACTTATAGTATGTATTCACTCAAAGGAGATAAGTAGACCTTCATCTATTGGTGTCATTATTACTTAAGAGAAGAGTCACTGAAAAGTCAAGAGTTACTGACTGCACAATTGTGCAACACAGCAATCTTTTCTTAGAAAGATCATTTTTACCATACAGGTCTCCTGTTTATCTTCCTACTTTCTGACAATAGGCCATAATTCAAAGGCCAGAATCCTGTTCATTCTGCAATTGCATAAAAGCGATCATGTAACTGTTTCCCTCCTAAGTAGCTTCTCACATTTGTTGTGATTATGCAAAGGTGAGCCTAAATTAAGGGAAACAGTTTAATCAACGTCTAATCAAACTTCAAATAAAAATGTTTGATGTTCCTTTTCATGGCGTCTTCCAAGAAGATCCTGTTTTGGTAGCATAGTAACTAGCCAGGGAACTAACGTAAACATTTGTGACTTTGAGCAGGTTCTGAATAGCAACAGTTGTAAGGCTGTCAGCCTTCTTTCTAGAAGGTATGTGTTGATAGTAGAGATGGGCACAAATTGAGTTGGGGGGGGCTTCGTACAAAGTCCCCTACATGGCATTACAGGAGCTGTGACCGCCCCCCAGCCGGCTGGCCCACTCTCCTTCCATCGCACACTGCTGGGGTCCTCTTTCTCTAGCAGCTTGCCCTTCCCTGCCTCCACTGGCAGCTGACCACCGAGTTGCTTTGCAGGGAGTAGCCCCATCCCACTTCTTCATTGGATTGGTCAGTTGCTGGAGTAGGTGGAAAAGGGTAGATCGAGCTCCTGGCCAGACAGGCCCACCACCAGAGAAGGCGGACCCTGGAAGGTGAATGTGCCCGCCGGCTGGGGGGAGGGAATACACAGCCACTGTTGTACCGCACAGGGGCTTCCTATGAAACCCTCCAACTCATTTGTGGCCATCTCTAATTGATAGGACTATCAGAATGGCCGTGGTACCAGTTTTACTTGACCGAAAATGCCTGGGAAGCTCAGATATACTGTTTTTCCATGTATAAAACAACACTTTTTCCTAAAATCATTAGAGGAAAAATCGAGGGTCGTTTTGTACATGGAAGGAGGCGGAGACAAAGGAGCCGCTGCACTTGGCCGCCTCTTGTGGTTGGCCATGGACTGCTCCCGCTGCTGTCCAGTTGCCTCCTCCAGTGCAACGGCCAGGGCTCACCTCCAGCTCACGTCACTGCCTTGTCCCCTGCCCGAAGGGAGCCTGTGAGTGGCTCTGGAGAAGGCGATCTGGCAGTGGCAGCAGTGAGAGATGGCCGAGCGCAGCTGCTCCTTTGCCTCCGTCTCTGCCTCTTCCTCCTGCTGCCCATTGACTCCTCCTCTGCCTCTGGCAAGGGAGAAAATTGGGGTCGTTGTATACCTTGGGAGGTCATATTCACGGAAAAATACAGTAGTTGCCTAAGCAGCTCTGCTACACAGAACCAAATATAAGAGTGATTCTGGATGCTACAAAACTGAAGGTCAGACAATAGAAAATCCATGAGTCTCTGATGGATACACAACTACAGAACATCGGTTACTGGGAATACCTCTGTTGAATGGCATTTTGAAATGCTGATTAGAAAAGTTCGGGAATTAAATATGCTGTGATACCAGTGTTAACAGCAACTCCGAATTAAATATGCTGTGATACCAGTGTTAATGAAGAGTGATACCAGTGTTAACAGCAACTCTGGTCCACTGCAGAGCTCAAGTTAGAGAGATCTAGAACAGCGGAAACATACAGTGGGCTTGAATGTTATGCCATCTCCCACCACAACAGAAACATCAGTGTCAATTGCAGCCTATATATAACCTGTGAACACTATGCAAGCAGATTGTACCCCTACAGTCTTTGCTTTTCTGCCAAGGTTTTTATACACCTGAGATAGAGATGGCTGGATCATCCATTCATGTCTTGCACACAGTAAATGTAACATAGCAGTGGTGGTGGTTCTTGTGTCCCAGGCCATTGCAGTCACTACAAGGGATATGTGTTGCGAGTCTCTTCTTATATTGGTTTATTACCACTTGTAAAATGCTCTCCTCTTGCATTACCTCCTTTAAGGGTGTGTCTTCACTCATTTCAATACTCAATGCATGTTACCTACGGTCAGGGGGAAAAAAAGAACAGGCATTTTTCTCCCTTGTACAATAAAACCAGCCACCTTTCCTTACATTACATGAGTGGGAGAAATATTGTTTGGTATGGCTCATGGTCAGTAAAGCTGCAAAGGAAGATGGTGACTTTGCATGGGTCCAGTGTGACAAAGCAAAGGATATCCGTGTTTTGAAATAGATGGTAAATCATTCCCGTTTGTTTTTCTTTTTGCGTTGAACAAGAAGCTGAAAAGAGTGAAGATTCTTCTGGTGGGTCAGGACTATCTAGTTTACATCGGACATACAGCCAAGACTGCAGTTTTAAGAACAGCATGTATCATGTTGGAGATTATGTATATGTTGAACCCGCAGAAGCCAATCTGCTGCCTCATATTGTCTGTATTGAACGACTGTGGGAAGATTCAGCTGGTAAGGAGGGGCAGGTCTTAAAGGGGACCAGTTTTTTTAAAAAAGATTCTTCAGAAATGTGCATTGTTTCAGAAGGGTTCACAAATTTACTTCTGGGGAACTGTAGGGCATCAGGGCCCTACAGTGATGCATGATGCATAAAGAGTTGGTGTAATGAATGAATGGTGGTGAATCTCTATCCTGCTTTTTGGTGTCATAATGCTGATTGTATGTACAGGGGTGGGTGGGAATGCTGTAAATGCTGTTATGAAATTTTCTTTCTAAATTGATGGGTGTTTTAAAATCATTTGGTGGAAGGAAAGCACAGTTAAATTTGTGGTACCACCACATCTTTTTACTGCTTGAAGTCGATCAGAGATTACAATTCCTACCCTAACAAGATCCTATCCCCCAGGGCAGCCACTACAGGGGATCAGCTCAGCCTGAGGATGGTGTTGGGGCAAAAGTGGGGGGCACAGCTGAGATCGAGGCATGGAGAAGTGACTTTTCGAGTCCTCGGCTATCTGAGGCTTCACTTCCTTTGCGTACAACGCACACTCTAGCATCCTTCTTGTGGGCAGCAGATCAGCTTTCATCTCTTGCTTTTGTGATTGCCATAATGAGTGTAGTTGTAGAAGTGGGTGACAGCTTTAGTGCTCAGGGTACTAGCTTTTTCCTTCATGCACATCAACTGCAGTCTTGCATTTTTTTTACTTCACAGTAATGGTGGCTGTGTGAAAACCCAGTACTTCTGTGGTAGTGATGTGCACTCTTAGTGCTTTATAACCCACTTGTCTTAAAGAAAAATTTGTATAAAGGGTTCTCATTATTCTCTAATGCAAGGGTCCTCAACCCCTGGTCCTCCTGCCCCCACCCACACACACAGGCATGGATGCACGTATGCCCCCCATACACACACGGATGCACGCATGCCCCACCCACACACGCATACCCCCTATGCACACACAGGCACCCCGCCCACATGAATGCCCCTCCGTGGTGCAAAAAAGGTTGGGGACCACTGCTCTAGTGTTCTCTGCTTTATCATTTTGGGAAAAGAGAACATGTTTTCCCTCTAAAACCCTGTCTGCCTTAGGACATTTCAGGCACCTACCGGAATTGCTTCAATGACTTGTTTGCTACAAGAGCTCTTAAAATTGATGTCTATACAGAATGGATTCATATCTTTCAGTTATAACATACAGAAAACAGTTTCTCTTTTTTAAAGGAGAAAAATGGTTATATGGCTGCTGGTTTTATCGACCAAATGAAACATTCCACCTTGCTACCAGAAAGTTTTTGGAGAAGGAAGTGTTTAAAAGTGACTATTATAACAAAGTTCCTGTGAGCAAAATTCTAGGCAAATGTGTGGTCATGTTCGTTAAGGTAAGAAGAAGTTAAATGGACTATTTCATAGAAACGATTTTTGTTGTTGTTTAGTCGTTAAGTCGTGTTCCATTCTTCGTGACCCCATGGACCAGAGCACACCAGGCCCTCCTGTCTTCCAGTGCCTCCCAGAGTCTGGTCAAATTCATGTTGGTAGCTTTGATGACACTGTCCAACCATCTCGCCCTCTGTCATCCCCATCTCCTCTTGCCTTCACACTTTCCCAACATCAGCATCTTTTCCAGGGAGTCTTCTTTCTCATGAGATGGCCAAATTATTGGAGCCTCAGCTTCAGGATTGTCCTTCCAGTGAGCACTCAGGATTGATTTCCTTCAGAGTGGATAGGTTTGTTCTCCTTGCAGTCCAGGGAACTCTCAAGAGTCTCCTCCAGCACCACAATTCAAAAGCATCAATTCTTTGGCGGTCAGCCTTCTTTATGGTCCAGCTCTCACTTCCATACATCACTACAGGAAAAACCATCGCTTTGACTATGCGGACCTTTGCCGGCAGGGTTATTTCTCTGCTTTTTAAGATGTTGTGTAGGTTTAATAAATAAGAAGTTGATTTTACATTGCATCTAATATTTCTAGCGATGTCTAGGTGAAAGGACTGGAAAAATGTGTTTACTTGCAATAAAGTTGACCTGATGTTTTGTTATATTTCTTGCAGCATTCTCTAAAATAACAAACTCGTGTGATAAAATGCTTAAGAGTTTGGAAGTGACATGAGACCATCCCAAAATAAAGGAATGGTTTATGTATATTTGTGGGACTTTCTAACTATGCAAGTGTATAGAAGTCTAAAAATTGAAAGAAAATGACATTATCCAAAACACTGGCTGATAGGAAACTGCAGACTTTCATGATATGACAGTAATTTTTATTAGTTTTTTATATATATACTGTATAGAGATGTGTCCTTTTAAGGAGAAAGATGGGGTAAAAATATTTTAAATACCATAATTATAAAGGCAAAATAGAGGATAGAAAGATGGGGTTAAAATATTTTAAATAATTATAAAGGCAAAATGGAGGACAGAGAAAGGGCCATGAAGTTTAAGGACTCCATTTCCACTACGAAGGGATGTCTGCCTTCTTTGTACTGCCCAGAACTGTGCCCCCATCCCTGTTGTGTCGTTATCAAATGCTGCATAGGTCTGACAGAGCTAGGCAAGTAAAAGACATTTATCCTTTCCATTGTGTACATTCTGCGCCCCTTCCACCCATCCAAGAGACAAGAACAACATAAGACTCCTATTCTAATTTGCCTCGAACCCTGAATAAGAACATTTTTGTTACAGGAGTAGCATATCTTTGTGCATTAATGAAGTATCTGCATTCCAGGCACAAGAAAGAGAGCACATGAGCTCCACACTCTTCTGTTGTTGCTTTTCTTCACACAGAGGTGACTTGTCTAAAAAGGAGAACGTGGTCTAGTCATGGAGACTCTCAGTTTTTCTCCTCTGTTCTACCTTGTGTAGAACAGAGAGTAGAGGCTTTTTTTCCACGAACAAGTCGCTTTTGCATGAGGAAAAGAAGTGGAAGGGGTTGGGGTTAGCATTCTCCTTCCTTATTTTTTGGAATACAGAAGCTTCACTTACCCCATAGGTGCTATATTACTGGTCTCATTTCACTCATATGTATCATTTGCTACATATGCAACCAGCACATGCATGCTTTGAAGAATCTTGTTTATTGCTGGTGTCCTTATGGGCAGCTAGACTGACTTTTGGGAAACCTCATAGCAGCAGGGCAGGCTGCTAGAAGGAGAAGGCTCTTTGGACATGGCCTCTGCATGCCTGATGAAAAGCTAAGGATTAGATAATTGTCAATAGATACTGCTTCTGCAAATGCCAGGTGATACTTTATGAATGTATGAAACTATAATCAAATTGTTATTCCTTTCCCATTAAACAGGAGTATTTTAAGTTATGCCCGGAAAATTTCAGAGATGAAGACGTCTATGTTTGTGAATCACGTTATTCAGCAAAAACAAAGTCATTTAAGAAGATTAAATTGTGGACCATGCCAATTAGTTCGGTACGATTTGTTCCTCGAGATGTGCCTTTGCCTGTGGTCCGTGTTGCATCAGTGTTTGCTAATCCAGACAAGGTTGATGAAGAAAAACACATTGAAACATCTGAAGAAAGTAAAGTGGGAGATAATGTCCTTAGCCTTGAAAAGGTATGTAAGTTTAAAGAGTTGCCCATTAAAATGAAAGCATGAGCCACTTTTTTAATATGTGTAACTATAGTTAGATCAGTCTGTACATTTCAAAAGCTGTTTATCAGTTTGGAATAGTTGCTGCTTCCATCTGTTCATAGATAAGCAGCTCTGATTTGTATATGGATCTCCCATATGCATAGGATACCTCATTAATTGCAATGGTAAGAAAATCTCTGTGTGCCAAAAGATGAGAGTATTAAACTCTCATTCCCAAAGTAAAGGAGAAAAATAAGTTCAGTTGAGTTCTATGTGGCCGTCACAGTTTGTTTATTACACAGTTCATTTATTTTGATGAAGTTCCCAGCATACTGTTCAGTAATATTTTCTTTAATACTAGTTAAATTTTTTTGATGTTTTAAATGTTTTAAGATGTTTTGATATGTTTTTATGTATGTAAGCCGCCCCAAGTAGACTTTGTCTAGGGGGTCGTGGTATAAATCAAATAAAAGTAAAGTAGTTGTATGACATTGTCTAGTTGTTAAATTTCCATTTCTTTACAGGATAAAGAAGATGTTCCAGTAGAAATGTCAAATGGGGAGCCTGGCTGTCACTACTATGAACAGCTTTGTTACAATGATATGTGGCTCAAGGTTGGGGATTGTGTCTTCATAAAATCACATGGTTTAGTTCGACCACGAGTTGGCAGGTATGCTCTTTGTGTGCATATATTCCTATCTGTCCATGTAAAACTCTGTAATAACAGTTGCATAACTTAAATCGTTTCTTAAGACTTGCACATACAAAACCTAAAGATGAATGAACCATAAGGAGATAAAGTAAGTGAGGAGAACTCTTAACATTTGTACTTGCAGCTTGTTTTGGGACATGCTGAAGCAATGGCTTTTCTTCATTTTTCAGGATAGAAAAAATGTGGGTAAGAGATGGTGCTGCCTACTTCTTTGGTCCAATCTTTATACACCCAGAAGAAACAGAACATGAACCAACTAAAATGTTCTACAAGAAGGAAGTATTTTTGAGTAACCTGGAAGAGACCTGTCCCATGACATGCATTCTGGGTAACTGATAGCCTACAATTTCTGTGTTTCTCACTGCAGTTAAAGTTTCAGTGCTGGGGAAATTCTTGGAGGATTCCAAGAGTTGCAGTCCCAAAACTCAAAAGTCCTGTCTCTAATGCTTGTTCCCACAGTATTCCACGCAATGTGCATGCTTATGGCTGGACTGTGGTTTACGCATGTCACAGTAAACTGTATTTGATGAGTCAGTATTTTGTCATTAATTTTTAGATATTTTTAAAATTTGTCTGGTTGCAGCAGAGTTAAGCTATTAGTGATTAAAGTTCTTTTACACACTGCTCTTTATTGCAGGAAAATGTGCTGTATTGTCTTTTAAAGACTTCCTCTCCTGTCGGCCAACTGAAATTCCTGAAAATGATGTTCTGCTCTGTGAAAGCCGCTATAATGAAAGTGATAAACAGATGAAAAAATTCAAGGGACAGAAAAGATTTTCTCTCTCTGCAAAAGTTGTAGATGATGAAATTTATTACTTTAGGTAAAGTATCTGTTGTATGTTCCTTTAAAAATAAAAAAAAAATCTTATGAAAGATCCCAGATGTAGGGATCTTAATTTGAACAGATAAGACCATGACAAATGAAAAGAACCACCTTCCATTATCTGTGGCAGTGATAACTGTGGTTTTGAACCATGTAGGGATCTTAATTTGAACAGATAAGAAGACCATGACAAATAAAAAGAACCACCTTCCATTATCTGTGGCAGTGATAACTGTGGTTTTGAACCTGAACTTCATAAAAACACCATATCCTAAAAGAATCATCCCGAACCTTTGTAACGGACCGAAACGTATATTCTTCTCTGTTTTCTGGATTTTGGTGAGTTTCCAGGGGCTTAGACACAGTTGTTTCCCAATTCTATCAGTGACTCCTTAATTACCTTATGGGCCCTGAATCTGAGGCATCTTTATGCAGGTGCTTTGTCACTGAATCGCCATTTTATAGTTTTTGTAGAAAGTGGTGAAGATGAATATAGTGTAGGGTCATTGAATCAGAGGGGATTTAGTAAGTCAACTCCTCTAGAAGTTCAATTGTTTCAAATTTGCCTACTTTAGTTGTGACTTAATACACTAAAGTAAATTGCACCTCAAGCAGACCCATTTGAATCAAAGACTGGAGGAGCTGACTATTAAGTTCCCATAGATTCAGTGGGTCTACTTTAGTGTGATTGATTACAGTTAGCAATAGCATATTGGTCAATGTGCTCTGCAGCTACAATGTGAAAGACTGTAATTACAGTCTTTCATATTGTCGTTATTATAAAGCAGATAATTTATAATGCAAACACAATTGAGTATCTTGAAGATGAATGTGTAGAAGATTGCAACAAAACAGAGACCAAAGAAATGTAGAAATTGCAGGCACACTTATATTATTAAGCTTCACTGTTCACCCCGACCCGCCCATCCACCTACACATATGCAAATATAGGTACCTTATACTCAGGGTAGCACTTCATACGTTTAATACAACTAGTCCATGAAAGTCTCTGCTATAATAAATGTGTTGGTCTGTATGGCATATGGCACTGTATTTCTGTTGCCATTTGAGAACTGAATATTTTTAATTTTTTTATTTTGTTTTATTTTGTTTTATTCTTGATACAACACTGACTGATACAATTTTCTTTGGGCAATACATGTTGTGAAGAAGCAGAATTAGGAACAGTATGTAGTGCAGAGAGTAGTTCTGTTCTGGTATTCTTATCTTAGGAAACCCATAGTTCCTCAGAAGGAGCCATCTCCACTTCTGGAAAAAAAGATTCAGCAACTGGAAGCAAAATTTGCTGAGCTAGAAGGAGGCGATGGAGAGATTGAAGAGATTGGAGAAGAGGAAGGTGAAGTTACAGAAGCGCCAGCAATGCCACAGATTCCAACTCCACTAGCTAATGAATTGGATATAATGCCATATACACCACCACAGGTATAAAATTATTTAAAAATTTACACTGGTGAAATGCTTCTTCTCTGTCTCCTCCTAATTAAAATATTATGCTTTTTGGTGCAGTGGCCTTTCTGTAACTCCACCTACTGTACACTTGCTTCTTAGAATTATTTTGTCACATGAAGGAAAACCTTGTCATAACATATGTAGTGATGTTATATGTGTGAACATGCAGAGTTTGATTCATTTCCATGATAGCAGCCACCATCAAACAGCCCTCTGCTATTTACATGTAAATAATTTTCCTTCATTGCATAAGTATCTTTGTGAGATTTTTCCCCCCTGAAATTCCTAAAGATCAGCTTGCCACAATGTCATCTAACACCATATACACTCAGTGCTGCAAGGATCATATATATACAGTGGTGCCTCGCTTAGCAATGTTAATTCGTTTCGAAAAAATCGCTGCTAAGCGATTTCATCGCTAAGCGAAACACGTTTTCCCATTGAAATGCATTGAAAACCGGATAATCCGTTCCAATAGGAATGAATTGCCATCCTTAAGCGAAAATTGCCATAGGAAACATCGCTAAGCGAAACGCGGTTCCCCAATTGAAATGCATTGAAACCTATTCAATGCATCTCAATGGGGGAACAATACAACAACAAATTAAAAAAGAGTCAGAACAATGTCAATTTTGTTTAACAAAGGGTTTATGAAGCGCATTTTATGATTTCAAATATTTTAAACAGTAAACTTTAACTTTATAAATAACAGAAAAACATTTAAAAAACAGCAAACATGAGGCTGTTTAAGCCATCGTTAAGCGAGACAGGGGACCCAAAATTTAATCGCTATGCGAAGCATGGTCCCAACCATCGCTAAGCAAAAATCGCCCATAGGGACCATCGCTGAATGAAGCTCAAAAACACTCCGAAAAAGTCGTCGCTAAGCAATTTCGTCGCTAAACAGAGCGCCCGTTAAGCGAGGCACCACTGTATCACCCAGTTCCTAGATAACTGAGTAAATCCAGCTTTGTGTTGTTTTTTCACTTTAAAATGTTTGCAACCACTGTTAACTTTTCACTGTGAAGAAGTGAGTCTCAAAACCTTAGGAAACATTTTTGTACTTTTTACTTACTACCTTCATTTATGACCATGATATTTGTCCCCATAGTCCACTCCCAAATCTGCCAAGGGCAGTGTAAAGAAAGAAGGCTCCAAAAGGAAGATCAATATGAGTGGTTACATACTATTTAGTAGTGAGATGAGAGCGGTTATTAAAGCTCAGCACCCAGATTATTCCTTTGGAGAGCTCAGTAGACTTGTTGGAACTGAATGGAGAAACTTGGAAGCGACCAAGAAAGCAGAGTATGAAGGTAAACTGAAACTGTCTATTGATATAAAACCTTTCTGCCCTTTTCTTTCAGAAAAGATCCTGTGTGCTTTTGAAAACAGGCAAGTCATAGGTCTGACTGAAGCTTCAAATACCTTAAACAGTCACACGTTGGATTCTGACTTGTCCTCGGTGATGGTGGTGAAGCCTCTGGCAGGGATCCGCTGACCTATTGTCACGGAGGAGAAGGTCAGGCAGAAGAGTAGATGTTGGGGTCTAGGAAAGAAGGAGAGAGGGGCCTAAGAAGGAAGTCAAGTGAGGGAAGCCAGTAAGTTTTTCAGGTTATAAGGGCAGGGATGAAATGAGATGAAAAGAAGGAACGTGTAAAAGGGGGGAAAAAGACAACCTTAAAAATAAGGAGAATAGCAGAAGTGTGGAGGTGAGCACAGATAACGAGAAGTTGTAGTGGGTGGGGGAGAAGTCTGAAATCAGTACCTTAATATCAAATAACCAGCTCAACTTAGGAGGAGTCTATTGCCCACGAAAAGGAGGAGAGTTGAATTTAATTATTTTGACTAATAGGAAAATTATTTAATTGTTCTGATATATATGGGGAGAGGAGGAGAAACCTGGGTAGATGGCAAAAAACAAGATCATTCAGAGCACTGAGAGAAGACCCAAATAAAACGAGAAATATACAGATAGCCTTATTCTATTTTGTTTTGTTTATTACCTCCCTTTCAATAAAAGAATCAGAGACCATTTAACTGCACTAAAGGCTATAGTTAATTAAATAAACAGTTGAAATGCATCAATCTTCAGCAATTACGAATGTTTTTATATTCTGCATTAAATAATAGACAGCAGCTCAGTGAGAATCAACCTTGTTTTTAATCAGCAACTGGCTTCTTAGACCTGATCTGATTTAATTTCCTTGCCTCATAATTACAGTTGCTTCCTGAAGAGCATAAGAATATAGTTTATTTTTACAATTCATCATTTTTATATAAGCACAGACTATTTTTCATTAAAAATGTATTGCTGTTACATTGCTGAAGACATCTTTTCATGAGCGTATATGCTAGAATATTTTCAGGCATTTACTAGAAAAAAATAGGAATAAATAAAATCTGAGTTTCGTATTAAATAATTTTAAAGTTTAGACTGTCACTGGTATCTTAGTCTTTCATCTTACTCCTTTTCTTTTGGCTATGAATTTACTGCAATATTTCTTTGCTTATTAAAATTATAGACAGTTTGTTTAGTTTCATTTTTCAAACAGGTCATCCTTTGTAGAACTAAAACAAGGTAGTATGTCTTTGCCAAGTAACAATGTTGGACTTTCCTCCTTTTGAGCTGCACCCATACTGTGTGTGATTGTCTCTTTTTTTTCTTTTGATTTCAAATACAGTTATTTTAATATGCAAGGTAACATCTGCAGTGCTTAAATATTTCTTATTTGAATATTTCCACTTTTAAATCTTCTTGTAACTTGATTACAACTTTCTGTTACTTGGTTGAATCCATATATAGTAATACTTACAGTAGACCAACTAAAGTAAATTACTAACTTTTAAGTCCCATTGATTGCAGTAGGTCTGCTCTGCCTAAGTCAGGATTCAGTCCTCTGTTTCCAGATTGACATTTAAACAACTGTTTATGTGAGCATGTGGATGGAGATGGGGAGGGGAGGCAAAATGAAATATTTCATTCTGTCTATTACCCATTTATGAATAGGTTTCAAGGCACAAGCAAAACTGTCACACTGCAGTAAAAATTGGAAGGCATTTTCATTCCTTAAAAGTTTTTTGGAAAATGATAAGATGCTATAAGAGGCATTATTCAGTGCCCTCTATTGATATACCTGTATTTTGATGTTCTCTTAACTGTACAGTGAAAAACAGCACATGGCATACTGTTGTTCACCAGAATAGTTTGAAAACACACCCAAGGCAAGAGTTTCTTATTATCAATTGTTAATATAAGAAATTAAAGCTCAAAGTGAAGACATTCCTCCTGCATTTAACATTTTACTAGCAAAAATCCTCTTGCACAGCTCTGTGCCATGCAAACGGGATGATGTCATCATTCAGCCATAGGAATATTTAATTTAAATTAATTGAAAGCTTCCTATCTCCCCCCCCCCTCCAATTTCAGGTTCCCTAGCGTTCCCTTGGGGGAGAGCATTTTATAGCCAAAAATTGCTCCTGAAGGCTTCCCCAAGGCAAAAGGGAGACCTAGGGAGCCTAGGAACCTGAAATTTTTCAGTTGATATGCCTGTCACCAGATTATGACATCATCCACCTTGCATAGCATGAGTTACACACCCACAGCGTTCCAGTGATTAAAGGCCCTGGCTTGGAAGTATTTGTGAATAGGTTTCCTGAATTTTGACATGAGATGCCAGTTCTTCATGATCGCTGTGAATGCACACTGATGGGTCCTTCTGCATATGTGCAGAATGTTCTAGAACTGACCTGTAGTGTGAGGACAAAATGATTGCTGGAACTTCGGCTGTAGTTTTAGAGAAACTGTTCTGAATAGGTTCTCTACGATTAACATAATAAAATAAATGTTCATTCAAGGCAGATTCTAGGTTCTTTGTTTTTCCATAATCGAATCACTTTCTTACCTTTTGATATCCTTTTAAAGGGATTTTCTGTTGGCATAAACAATATACTGTACACCTACAACTCTACATACATGGGCATTTTTTGTGCTTCCTCACTTTCAAATGTAGATTATTCCTTATTTTGTTAAAATTGCTTTGCTCAATGGCTCTTTTCACTTTTGTGGTATTTAATTATGACTGTAGTTTCATCAAATGCAAGAGATAAGTCACCTGTTTTCTTTCTATATGTAGTATATAAACAGCCATTGCAATAACTGAGGCATTTGAAATGCTTTATTGGAAGTCTTCCAAACAACATGTTGTAAAACTGCATCTCATGGATGTTACTTTCCAAGACAATTTTCATCTTTTTAAAAACAGAATTATTAGAAAAATATTTACTTACTGCCTTTTCTGCCTCCCCCTTGAGGTAAAGGTTCCCCTTGACATTTAGTCCAGTCGTGTCCAACTCTAGGGGGCGGTGCTCATCCCTGTTTCCAAGCTGTAGAGCCAGCGTTTGTCCATAGAACGTTTCTGTGGTCACGTGGCCAGCGTGACTAGACACAGAACACCATCACCTTCTCAACGAGGTGGTACCTATATCGACTCACATTTTTACATGCTTTCGAACTGTTAGGTTGGCAGGAGCTGGGACAAGCGACAGGAGCTCATTCCATTGCGTGGATTCGATCTTACGACTGCTGGTCTTCTGACCTTGCAGCACAAAGGCTTCTGCGGTTTAACCTGCAGCGCCACCATGTCCCATTTCTGCCTCCCAGGTATACCCAAATAATATACAGTGGTGCCTCGCTTAACGATTTTAATTGGTTCCAAAAAATTCATCGCTATGGGAAAACATCACTAAGCGAAACGCGTTTTCCCATAGAGATGCATTGAAAACTGGATAATCTGTTCCAATGGGAATGGATTGCCGTCCTTAAGCGAAAATTGCCATAGGAAGCATTGCATTTTCTGGAACCCCTAAAATGAAATATCTAGACCAAAATCCTACTGATTATTTACATGTGGATATGAGAAAATGTGGAAATCCACAGCAGTTTATTCTGGCTTGCTGACATGGTGCTATTCACATGACCAAGCCTGCAACTGGTAGCTCATACGAAAAGAGCAGTGACTGCTGTTTTTTTTCCATATGAGCATGAAAGAACCAGTAAGATTTTGGACTTCGCTAAAATTAATACAAGCAGAAGAGAACATTTCATCATGCCAGATAGTCAGGAACTACTGGAAAGCTCAGTGGTTTAGTTACCTGGATGCAGGGCCAGAGGCTGGGAGTTCAATTCCCCACTGTGCCTCCTTGACAGGGGCTGGACTTGATGACCCACAGGGTCCCTTCCAGGTATCTTCTAAGATTATTATAAAATAAAAGGCCAGTTTTACGCTTTCTTATTTCTATTTGCCAGCACATCACTTCAAATGGAAGCAAATGCTACAAATGCTTTGTGACTAGTTCATCAATGCTGTCACAGAAAATGCGCCAGTCAGCTCAAATTAATTAGCCAAATTGGAACACTAATGTCAAAC